ACTCAACTCAATGAAGGCACAGTATCAATATCAACTTTGCACTCGTGGTACATGAGAATGCACGCATTTTCAGCCAATCAAAAGGGTGTAATTCATGTACATTATCAAAATGGAAGCATCACGTGTAAAAACGGTTTTACGAGAAGCGCAACACTTAACTGCTCCTTACCGAATATTATCTAAGCGTCCATTGATTAATTTTAAAAATTTATCAAACAACTCTAAAAACACATGTCTTTTGTTAGGTTTGTTTTTATAATTTTCTAATTCATTAATCACATTTCATATCACAGCAAAAATTGAGGAGATTTGACATCTGTTGTAGTTTTGAACACTGATATGTCCTTTGACCGGTAGGCAGGCAGTCAACCGAGTAATAAGAAATATGTCTATCGAATTTGCATTCCAGTTTAAAATTATAATGGGTGCCAGTGATCCTCTGCTGTTGAATCGCCTTCTTCAGACAGTTCCCCATGTTCATCATACCTTGATAACTACATGCGGCAAAATTTCTAAATGTAAACGGGGTCGTATTAGGTCCACTCCTTTTAAAACGGCCATGACCTTAAAGCAAAGAAACACGTTTATTACCAAAAATGATACTTCTATAGTCGCTACCACCATCCCTCTCTTGGACATAAGTTGTACCATGTTCATAACGTTTTCATAATTTGTTTTTGTATTTTTTTTTTCAAAGGTTTGTCTTACTGAGCTAGCATAAAAATCGTCGACAGACAGTAGTAAAGAGAGAAAACTAGAGAAGAAATAATATTTCATTCAAGATCATGTAATTACATTTGTTGCACATCAAACCATAAAAGTCTGAGGACAAATGAAGTTACAACGCCTGTACATGACACATATGTCATCAATTACGGGCGATCGATTTAGTTGACAAATTTTTTTTAATATTTAACCCACCTCTCCTAAGCGAGCTCACACTAAAATCCATCGACGTTTGTTCAATGGTATAGATTGGAAAACTGCCACAGAAATCCAGAAACTTCTTAGACAAAGCTGATCGCTTCGCAAAACCCTCCACTCTCCAAGCTCTTTTCTTGGTTGTCACATGACGGGATAAGCGGGGCTGCATCGAGACCTGTGCATGAGTAATGGAGAACATGGAACCGATACTATAATTGTGAGCTGACAATTGAAAAAATGCTCCAAAATGTATTAATTACGTAGACTCGCATAGCTCATGTATCATGTTGGTCGGCCGTCGGTTAAAATCTAGTTAGCATGCTTGCACAGACCAGCGCAGTGGCGCGAACTTACAACGGGGCAGAACCTCCATAACCCATAACTAAGGCTGCCTAATTATGGTACATTCATTAATCTACATATATATATATATATAGTTGTAAGAAATACAAAGACGTTCGAGTCTTGCATTAAAATAGTTTTTTAAATAACTCTCATAGCTTCGGTTATTGGACCCTAACTGGAGCTGTCATAACTTTTTCCGACTTTTCGCAATGATCGTTTAAGTGGTCGCTAAAGGTAACTTAAAGGTTTTAAGGATTAGTATATTGACTGGACTGCAAACGTGGACTGTGGCTCTGTCACGAAAGGTTAAGAAATAAAGTTCAAAATAATAAGTAAAATCCCCTTCGACGAATAAAAAGTTCAAAATGCCATAGAAATGGAATTTCAAAACTCTTCACTCTACCAATAGATTTTATTATATGATTTATAATCTCTCTGACTCTACCTGTTCCATGTTGATTCTCATCTTCCCTGGCTCTGGAAGAGATGAATCCAGCTTAGATACATAGCAGGCACGTGCTGATGGTACTCGGTAAACAGACAAACCCTGAGGAAAGATGTATTTATATCTCTTTTAGTTTGTTCATTCTAACATTGGAGCAGATGGAATTGTTTACATAAACTCGACCCTCCATCGCACTCGTGTTTTACATGCCACACGCACCGTCTTTCTTCGGACAGACGCGAAGGAGACTAGGTAAACTTTGAGGTTTTTAGCTTTTATCACTAATGTGTGTGCTGCAGTCAATCTACTTCCCTGAAAGGCGAGTAGAATTAGGCTTGCATTCGAATATCAGGATATGCTATAAGATCTCACATAAGTCTCTGTGTATAACTGTCATCAAATTGCTGACATTTGATGACAATGATTTATGGTTTACGGGTTTCTACATTTTTGGGGAGTCCCATTTTGTTAATATTTGTTAGAAGTAACTTGATTTACCAGATGTTGTCTGTTTCAATGATTAAGTAATGTATCCAACGGACAGAGCGTTTGAAAAATATCACAGCTCTTCAGTCAGTGACATTTCATCAAGTTTCAAACATAGGCATGCGTAGCATGCAAGAGTTATTTTTTTTAACCGGGCAAGTCGAGATGGGACACTTTGTGTTCCTAATGTTTTTATAACTTTCAAAAGAACGAAAATATCGCATTACTTCACTAAGAGAGAGACAAAAAACCTAATTTTTCTAAACTCACACAGGTAATTTTTGGTCTGTTGTCTCTATTGTCTGAAAACTTTTGAGAAAAAAAATAATGCATCGGTGCCACGCTTACTGTAGTCTCCGTCGTAGCCGTTGTTTGATCTAGTCACACAACACCCTCTATTCCCTGTTAGAGAGAGAGAGAGTGGATGACGAGACCAAATGAGGGTTTCGAAAGAGACTACGTACTGTACGCTTAAAAACCTTTCCTCTTACAGAGAGAAAATCAAAATTATTCGTCGATAGTTAGTCGCCTCAAAAATATACTTTCAGGAAATTTTACTACGAGAAGTAAACTGAAACTGTTGTATCTCCAATAGGCCCTAACCAAAAATATATTGCGATCTCGAATAAGTGAAGATACATTGAGCAAGAGAGGAGGATATTATTTCAAAGAGGGCTCCTTGATTGGTTTTTGCCTATCGAGACTTTGCCCTCTGTCTTAATACCGATACTTATTAGAATGCAGTTTGTTTACAAGGAAATGGCATGTGATGGAGCGAAGTCTGATGTGCTAATTAGAATTTGACTGGTAGAATACAATTCAAGCACGAGAAGAATTGCCTAATGTTCATGTAGTGCAACGATTGGGAATGTTCTGATTGGACTATGGACGTTGTCTTCATAGCACGTAATGGAATGTAAGTTGTTAGGCGTGTGCGTTGTGAGAAAAGGAGCGTTAAAAAACACGTTTTAACTTAAAAATGATACAATGAAAATAAATGCGAACCTTTCATTTCCCGACAAATCTCGAACTCAATCGACGAAGTTCTCGCGAAGGCCACAACCAAAACACTTATCAAATGAGCCCAAAATTTCTCGTTAATGTCATCCTTTGCGCACGGCCCCCTGATTCCCATAGCATCATTATAAGAAAAAAATACCCAAATCCTGCGATTGGTACACGATATTCAAATGCTGTGATATGATTGACGCGAGATACATACCTTAACGCGGCAATCTGACTGGTGCGAGATACATACCCTAATACGACGATGTGAATCGAGCGAAATATAGAAATGGACAGAAATTGACTTAATGAAGTGCTGTAGTTCTTCTTAAAAATTTACCAACCCTACCTCTCTAAAGTCATTCATCATTTCCATTGCGTCCACATCGTTGTGCTGAGGAACACGGAACACTTCGGTTTGATTGTCGACATCCACTTCTACATCTCCGGTAAACGTCGCTCCATTTGCGGAAACACTTAAGGAATAGCTCTCAGTCTGTCAATAGCAAATGGCAATAGTAATGATAAGCGACCTTCTAAAAATAAGTGAATACGATCGGCTCAAATAGCTCAGATATATGCTGGTCAAGAGAATAGTAAAATAATCAATCAAAACTCACAATGCAGTTTACTTGCACTCCATTCAAGGTGATCAAAAGAATGCTGATCAGAAAGACAATCTGGAAGTTAAACACAACTTTACTGGTTAGGAACAGAAAGGCGCTATTGAGCAAGTTTCCCTGAAGAAGATGCCATGATTTAGGACTACTCGTTATTTCGTTGCTTGTAAAGTTTGTACAAATAAGGTACTTGTAGCATGCAGCAGAAAATATTTGTTATATTTCAAACAGAGAAACAAGCCCGACTAATTGTATTAACAAACAGCCTAACATAAAACAAATTTCAAATATGGGATTACCGAAAGAGAGCTAAAGCACATACCATTTCTGTCGGCAGATATATTGTGTTGATTTGTGCCTTTGTAGATGATCAGATGAAAATCCGTCAGAACTCATCGAGATGGAGGCTAGAGCCGGTTATATGATGAGCGTTTGAGCTGTGCCGACACGAAAATGAGCAGGCTGTAATGAGACTTTTTGGTTACTATTGCTAATGGAGGCTGAAACTGATGTAAACACTGACAAGTAATACACACGCTGGAGCGTCGTGATAAACTGTGTAGAAGCAGAGAAAAGGGAAGAAGTAGGTGACCCAAGATATTTCCTTTCCTTCAACAGAGGAAATTTTGAAATCGAAAAATATTTCGCACCTTTTAAGGTGATATCTGCATCCGGCTTCCTTTTGCTAATTTGTACGATAAAGTAAATTGATGTTGTTGAGAGGGAACAGAAAGATTTAAGGGCAATGTGTTCCTTAATATCTTGGTCACGTCCATACTAAGTCATGTTTACTACTTTGTTCCTAAGTCACCTACTTCTTCCCTTTTCTCTGTATCTACACAGTTTCTCATGACTCTACAGTTACTGCAGTGGCGATTTCCTGTTCAACTGACATGAAGCCCGTGTTCATTACGTGCCCCAATTTAATCATGTACAACGGGTATCAGATCTCAGCAAAAATCGTGCGTATACCGTAAGCTTCGTCGTGTTGTCATGTTAGCACCCCAGTGCCACGCAATATTGACAAGAATTTATGCATTTCCAATCCAGCAATCCTTTTTTTAATTTTTTTTCCCTGTCAATTACGCGCTTCCCCACAAAATAAAATCGAAGAATGAGATAAAAATCACTATTAAATCTTAGAAGCCAGTCGCGACGGTAGTTTCAGTAAACCTCTTCGCTTAGGAGCATCAATGACGAATGCAAGACGAGGCCTCATTTGCTAAAATCGCATTGAAACTTCTTTTTTTCCTCTGTATTTTTTCCCCACCTCACAACAATAAAAACTGGAGTTGTGTCTGCCATACGTAAATACTTTGTCTCAATTTAACTTTCACAAAGCCCTCCAGTGAGTGAGTGTTAATTGATCGGTCTGTATATTTGTTGTAAATTGTAAACGGTATTCTCATCCAATAAAGATGGAATCAGAGCTTCTGGCCTCATTTATTTTTACTTCCCTGACAACGTCTCTAAGCATCTAAAAACGACAAATCTGAAACAGCAGTAAGATCCCCGAAGTTATAGCTAAATTGTCACGCTTGTACTTCAGTCGTCTGTTCGTGACATTGCGGTTTCTTAAAGGGTGATAACGCAACACGTTGGAATTTTTAACAACGGACAATTGTTTGTAGAATTCTCATGAATTAAAAAGAAAGACTCTCAAAAAAAAGGATAACAAAAACGATGGCTTTATCCAAAAGATTTATCGGATGAAATATCCCAACTACTTGCAACATTAAAAATGACAATGAAACTCCTCCACAAACTCCATACACGCCTCCTAGACATTAGCTGCACATTACTTCAAACACTTTTTACTGTATTGAAATAAATATGTACAGATGTTTTATCTAATTGTGTTAAAAAACATTTTTCTTTTTTGCATGATTATATAGGTTACTTATTTTCGTTGAAATTAATTCTGTATGGAACCAAAGAGGACTCTCTCGCAAAAAAACACCTTCATGTTGATAGAAAAACAAAAACCCTTAAGCTCA